TTRGCCTGAGCCTCATCTCCGCCTACAAYTGTACGCGCGGCCGCCCCGCRTCTGCGCCGACTTACCAAAGTTGTACCACGGCCCATACTCGCGCCACTCCGCGTGCCAGGACCTACCGCAGTCACTCTGTCGCCTTCGTCGTCGCCGTCGAGGTCGTCCTCCGCACACACGCGTAACTCAATCACACATACCAACAAAAAAAAAATATCCTTAAATCCTAGTCTACTCAAGAATAAACAAAAATAAAGATAAAGATAAAGATGGAAACAAACCGATTAGCGTCTGCGCCGACTTTATAATCAACGATAGAAACGGAATCGCGCGCGCCTCAAACCTGCGCGCCCACACACTCCTTGTTCTAATCAACCATCCGACCATCGTGACCATGCAGACGCAGTCGCGCCTCGCGCGGTATACTTAACTTTAGACCAGACTCATCTTTCTGCCATTTGCAAAAACCAGGGCTCGCGCCGACAGTGTACAGTCTATGCAGCCATAGCAGTTGGGGAAACCCTTCGCCTCAAACGCGCGCAGAACGACCAGCCGCCGCAACCCAGAAGGCCAAACGATCTTCCCCCGGTACACATTGAGAAGCGCCCTCGTCACATCCTCCACTGCAATCAATCCTGACGCGCGACCTATACCGAATGACGACGTGCTGCTCTCGTACGTCTCCCCGCTTGCCCAACGATAAAGCGCGTATGCAACGATGTGATCAGGCATCAAAGGCTCCCTGTAGAATGTTACCCTGCGCTGCAGATGAGGGGACAACGCCTCAACGATCTCCAGGAACACTCTACGGGACATCTGCAGCTTCTCCTTATAGTAGCCCTCCGCCGCATCCTCCATCTTCCGGAGATCCTCCCATGTCCTGCGCGTCCTTCTCCTCATCCACCATCTTGGACTCGCCCGCGGGATCGCACCCGATGCCATAGCACAACAGAATTGCATAATGGATTATGACAACGACACACAATCGGGCGCCTCCATAAGTTGTTGCATGAGCTGCCTTTGCCTGCGAATGGACAGTCTCATCTTCAGGCGAGTTGTGGCTCTCTCAATGCGATAACGAATGGCGACGGCCGACACAGCTGCAACCACGGCATTTCTCACCGCAGTCGTCGATGCATTCCGGCCCGCACCTCTCCCTCCATGTTCATGACGTGCAATGTGGAAATGGCCAACACCCCTTTGCTTGCCGGTGCCCTCGTTCCCTTGTCTCCACGTCGACGGATATGGCGGCAACACTCTACGTGCTTCACGGAATCCCACACTTCACGCAGCCCCCCGACGTACGCGGTCAGCTATGGCGGTCCACAGGATTGGCATGGACGGCCCGCAGAGGAAGGTGGAACCCGTTGGCGACGTAGCACGGCGGGATGACTGTTACCGTTCGTGCTACGTCGGTGTCAGTTCCAATGCCCACCAGTACTCCTCCGTACGGACGTTTTGCTCCAGTGTGCACTCCAGCGGCCCTCTCGCCTGTGGCGCCGACGCGTCACTACGAAGGTTTCAAATTTCAAAATTTGAATTGGGATGGTGGCGCCTTTTTTCTTTCCCACCCCGGTGGCCTGCGGCGGGCCTCCCTGTCCCCGCCACTGGACCACACCGACGACGCACGGACATCCGAGCATGACGATGGACATCCGCCCCCCGCGGCCGCGTGTATGCGTATGAAATTGGCCGCCGGAGGCCTCCAAGGGTTTTCCTTGGGACCCATCGAATTAGGACGCGGTGTAACCACATGGGTGGGCAGGCTCCCGCTCAACCAACTGTGTATTGACCCGGCTGCCTGGAGTTGGGCACCAAACTTAGAGGATGACGGTACACTGGCTCTTCAGCACTACTCGATTGCTGCAGGGTATAGTCGATACTCACACAAGCTCAAAACACCAGCACAGGTAGCTATACCGCGATGGCAGGCAGTCTGGGACGAGGACCTCTCGAGCACTGCATCGGAGTTTGAAAGGTTGTGGAAAACTCTTTCTACCCTCCCAAACGGCAAGCAGGTAAGCATACTATGGATGCTTTCGCTAATGGTAACCCCCTCTGCGGTCTGGCTTACGGGCAGAGGCATGACGGTAAATATGACTTGCACAAGGTGCAGATGGCCGTTCGAGTCCACCAAACACTTGTGGTGGGAGTGCCCTGCCTCTAGGAGGATCTGGAAATGGTGGGCGTATCACTGGAAGGTTTTTGGGGGGCAGGGAGTAGAGTGGGAGGACAAAAGATGGGTGCTGCTTGGCTTTCTCCCACCGGATGTCGAGGGGTGTCGTGGCTGGGGTTACATAGCACATGTGGTGAGGGGTCTGATCTGCGAAACGATCTGGGCAGACAGAAACAGGTCGAGATTTCAGAAACGACCGTTTTCAGATCTGGAAACAAAACACTGTATCAAGAAAGGGCTGGAGCACGCCATCTGGGCAGACTGGAGGCGCAAGGCAAAGTCGGGCAAGGGAAGCAGTCGTCAACTTCGGTGGTTCCTCCATAGCTGGGCAAAAAATCACCAGCTGGCCGGAGTTCAATCAAGAAAAGGGCTGGTAATTTCGAAATGGATACGGGAGGAACCAAAAGGAAGGCCAAGTCTTAATTAGCTAGAGACAGCGGAGATGAGGGGGTTAGACAGTTGTTCTCTGTGGGCTATGGGTACTCGTGCACACAGGGACGACCAAGGTAGGCGGAGTCATCCAAGAACCAGGGCACTCGGTTCAATAGGGCCGCAGTGGGCCGACAGGAGAGTGTCAGTTAAACTGGGACCCTGTCCTCTGCGCCGAGTTAGTAGCAGATATAGAATAGCCTATAGGATGTAAGATAGCTTAGATTGGGTCACACAGATACACTGATTTGCTATTTGGTTCCTATGCACTCAATATCAACAGGTTAAACCAAGGTATTCTCCTTTTCTCGAAAGTTTGAACGGTTTTGAATATTTAGATTTAGCCACATGTCTCAGGACCATAATTAGTTAGTTTGGGAACTTAGTAGTGGAAGTTCCGCAGGCACAGGCCTGTAAGCCAAGCTGACTGATGCTGTCAGATATCTCCTGGTTGAATTGTGAGGTCCCCGGCCTCGTCTCGTTTTGGTAATGGAATTGCTGGTTTGTTTAAAAAAAAAAAATAAAAAAAATAAAAAAAAATAAAAAAATCCAAGGACTTCCTCCTAATTCCTGAGGATGTTTCAAGGAGGGTGTAAAGAGGCCCTTACTCTCGAAACTTCGGGAGTCTAGAGTAGTGGAGCGAGGCCCAGTCTGACCGGTCCAGCCACTGTTTTCCCAAATCGGGCATCCCATTTTTTAAAGAAAATACGATTTTGGATACGCAGTGTGAGCGCGCCCTCAGTTGGTACACTCAAGGAACTGTTGTTGACATATGAATCTGACCCAAGTTCGAATCCACATGCAATCAGATGAACTGAAACAAAATCATTCTGAATTGAATTACCTCGGGCCAGTCAGCTGGACTTCTTCAATTATGATATCTGAAGACCGTCACCCTTTTTGAAAAGGGAAAAAGACGGGAAAGAGAGAGAAAAAGAGAGAGAAAAAAACAGAGAGAAAAAGAGGAAGCTCACAATTGGTTGCCATTTGGGATTGGACAACTGTTGTCCTGTGAAGCTGCTCACCATTGGTCGCCATTTGGGATCGAGCAATTGTTTTTTTTTTCTTTCGATGCAACAACATGGCATGCAGAATTCAGTGGCTGTAGGCGCCAGTCGGCAAGAGGACGATCAATCGACGAAGGCCCACCAAGGATGACAAGGAGGAAGAGGAGAGGCAGGAGGCAGGGGAGGTTAGGTAGGTAGCCATTTCCCTTTCTCG